AACGAGAATCGACACCGTACTTGGGGAGAAGTGTCCTTTGACATGGACAGTTTCACTACCGTAGGCTTCTGCCGTAAAAGTCGCTTGATCGCTAATTCGACGGTCAACAAGCTCTGACGACCAGTTGACAGATATACGTCATACTGACGTCACTATCTCTTCCATCCAACAGGTTCTTTTTATTGATACTCTTTGAGGTAAAGGGGTCTAACGACCGTTTTAGTTCAAAGTAAATTTTGAGCGGCACACATATACAAGGTCGTTAAGACCACAGAGTCTGTGGTCTTACCATGAAAGCGGACAGGTGGTTGAGTTGTCTGTTCATTACATACAAATTCGCAGATATTAGCTTCAATCCGCCACAAAAAACACTGCCTCTTATTAAGTATTTCGCGTTTTATGATTGTACGTGTGTTCCGAAAAAATATGTCAAAGGGAATAATAAATGAAATTCGACATCAGGTCGGTGGTTGGACCGCCAATTTTGTGATAAGGGTTATCCGGTTTCGGATCTCACCGGAGACTTCCCTTATCATGGTTTTTATTAGTACCTTCAAGCAAACGCTAAGACACTGCCTTAAAATGGTCCACGACCACAGATTTCCACATCCTGATGCAATTAATATTTTAGAATAATCCGGTCATTCGGCGCTATGTAACTTGTGAAAACTTGTGTAACTAACAAACTAACACCACTGTACAAGGTTCGTTTGAAAAATTGAATTTTGTCTATGAGGTAATGAAATTTGAAATTTGATCAACTTTATCCTATCCTGAGGGACTTCAATCCGTCCTCACATCGTTTTATCTTGTTAACATTATATTCTCTCCCACACCTGTGTAATCCTGTACTCCTTTTCCCTGGAGTTTTACAACCAAAATTTTAAATGTATCCCGATCATTGTGTCATACTTAATTTGAGCTTATTACGATTTAGATTACAAACTAACCAATTAACTATCCATCTGCATTGAGCAGATCCCTTCTTGAGAAGATACGCCCAGCTAGCTAGTCAAGAATTTTTCGAAGGTTCATTACCGTATTTACAAGAGCCCTAGAAAATGAGATCACAACTATAAATTGTGAAATTTCCAGTTTTATTGTAATGTTTTTAATTTATCTTTTAATATTTATTAAGTCCAAATATCTACCTTAAAAAATGTACTTTAAACGCGTGTTCGGCCAGCAAAGTCAGAGATTATACAGTTGAGAAAGTGTCGTTAAACAAATAACGACAAAACATAAATCAAGAAGCGATGAAAATCGTGTGTTATCGAAGTAAACACGAAAATAGAGAAATGTTGTAAAACTCCTCGTTGGTCGCACTTTTAACGTTTCGGGTTGAAAGTTTCGTCCACACTTAAGCCCTTATTTCCCTGAATAAATTTGCGAGTCGCTTTAGGGTCAACTGCTGCCATGGGAACGAAACAACAATTCTGCTGACTTAAGTGAAGCTAGTAAAGTTGCTTTTAAAACAGGAAAAGTGACAGGAGTAAGGTAGCAACTCCATCTGGAGGGAGACAGTATTCATGCCAGCGAGGAGCAGGGTAACCCAGCACGCCAAATGTCGCGGCATCATAAACCCAACAACCGTTCTGGATATCATAAATGATACACAAATGCGAATATACAGGGCGTTCTAATTTAAATGGAACCCGCAATGATCTAATTCCGCGGCGGCAGTCACAGCGAGTAACGCAATCGAATGCCGGCGCGTGAGTTCCGAGTCACGTGAAACATCCTGTGTAACGAGGCGTGTTGAAATCGTGCACGGCTTTGAAATACGAGCAGAAACTTCGTGATTTTCTTCAGAAAAGTCCATGCGGATATGGATTCGTAGAATCTAACTTGGTCAGTAATTTAATTCCGAAGGACCATCACCGGGAATTCTACACTTCGCTAGTTCAACCCAATCCACCTACTACTACACTGTTCAGAGTTTTTTTTGATGATTTTATAAGTATTTCATTGTTTCCGCATGTGTGCTACACGTCCTTCCCAGCTCCTTAATTATTTTAAGACGATCAGGTGAAGACCGAGCACAGATCTTATTTATTTAACGAGAGTTTTCTTTTGCGAAGTCGAGTGTATTTTAAATAATAGGTTAGAAATAGTTTGAAACAAGTGGTCGTGGCTTACTTTAAAGTACTGTCTCAGTTCTTACACCGAAGGGCTGTGATAGTCCACGGCAAACTTGGAGAAAAACACCGATTTACAAATCCGAGATGCTGGTTACTTGGTCATCGCTCGCTGTTAAAAGATTTTGGCCCTTACGTGATAATATTTATGAATGTGCGTGTTAAAACCGCTGTAACGGTGACTGATCATAAAAATGCTGAAAAGGACCTTATGGAATAATATTTGGCCTGCAACGTACATTTAATTTTATAGTCGACCGACGTTTCAGAGATACGTACTTGCTTCATTCTCCTCCGAAACGTCGGTAAACTTCTACGAGACTACATGGCGCAATATACCAGAAGGCTGTCGTGTTTAAATAAACTATGCGTTTTGCTGGTATTTAAATCAATGAGGGTAAGATAACCGAGACATGTCAGACAAGTGAAATGAGAAATGCATTGAAAATTTTGAGCGGAAGATCACAAGGGGAGAGACTACATGGAAGAGTTATATTAAAACGGATCTTAGGAAGGGCGTGGAGATGGGGATTTGACTACGCCGAAATGACGGATTTTGTGAACGTGGCAATGAATATTTCGGGTCTGTAACAGAGGCGGGTTTCTTGATCAGCTGAAAAAATAGTGACAAAGTTTTCGCATTTGATGTGCCAGTTAATTATTAAAGCACGAAGGCAGGATCTGGTTCCGTGTCATAGAATACGACGCCATTAATGCCCGCTCCGAGTCACTCCTCTGACATTTCTGAAGGCACGAACTTTCATCTCTTTCTCTTAGTGACGAAGACGACGCCAATTTGCTGAATGCGCTCTAAAAAAAAAAGTACCTCATTCACTTTGTGTCTTCCCGTAACAGCGATGGAACAAAGCTGAAGGCTGACATTTTTCTAATCTTGTTTGGGTAGGCGTATTTCTTGTGATACACATTCATTGCTAAAGCGAAGTTAAAATCTTCTTCATATTACATTTTTGAGCAGTTACGTCAAATGATAAAAAAAGGGATGTTTTTGCACTTTTCATGCAAAAAAACCCTTAAATTATAACAGTATTTTACACTTCTATTTTCACTGACCCAACCCTTAGCGAACAGGGGTTGACAAAATGTATACTACAAACGAATTAAATCCGGCCCGTATTGGTGATGTTCAGATATAAATAATTATGCGACTATTTATAATCTTCAGACTCACCTCAGTTAAAACCTCAAATCCTACATTTATAATCGTTTATTTCTTAACATAAACCAAAAATTAATATAAATATTGTGACAGAAATGTAATTAAACGTATTTACCGATTAAACTTGTTAAATTAATAATTAGTTAGGAGAAAGACGAATGCCTTCACATCAGATTGTTTCTGATGAGTGTTTTAACAATTTTACATAATAAGCAAGATATCTTATTAACTCGATATTAATTATAATAGTTCTGTTTGTTATGATTCCGGTGTTTGGTTGCGCTGACGGAAGAGACATTTAAAAGGGCACGGATTTATGGGAAAAACATTGACCTATCGCTCTAATTTTTCGTTGTTTGTTCCTTGTAACGGTATTTTTTTTAATTTCATTGTGACAAATGTTTATGACTAAAATTTAATATTTTTCTCACTTGGCTCTTCGTTTCTCAGTCAATTCGAAACACCACTATCCATCCAGCTATTCTATTCCAGGTTCCGATAAAGAAGCTCCTTTAAAACTGATAGTAGGAGACTTTTTTTTAAAAATTTGGTACTGAGGATTTGTATCAGTCAGTGATGATGATAGCCCGCGGTCATTTTGTCCACCAAAAAGTCCCCACGTGGACACCATTGTATTTGATACCAGATCAGTAATTAACGTCCCCAGCAATGGAAAGGACTAATTACTGGTGCAGCTGTACTTTGAAACATTTGACAAGGATTTTGTGTATCACGATATATCCTCTGTAAGAAGGCGTCTCTACATCCGAAGGCTCAAAGCGGGAGCGAAAACCTAGTATAGAGTGACTTCGGAATAGTTTCTTAAGTATCCATTAAACGCGTAATTTTCCTGCGAACTGTTCAGTAACACTTTCCTGAACGCTTCTATGCGACGTAAGAGAGTCACTTAATGTAGACCTCCTCTTAAGTAGGCCTGTTCTATAATTCAAACGAGGGGGCATCTGAAATTTGAAGACGAGAGTTAAACGTCTATGAAGTCGAAGCTCGTCTAAATAATATTTAAGAATTTAGTCCGTACCGCGAAGAAAACACAACCCTTTACCATTAAAAATCAACTGGTTAGCCCTTTAAAGCCGAAGTTCGTCGAAATATTTAAGAATTCAGTCCGTACCGCAAAGAAAACACAACTCTTCACCATTACAAAGATCAAGTGGTTAACGCTGTTTAAGGAGATAATCCCTGTTTATAGCGAGAATCATATAAGACATAAATGGAGGTTATTAACGTTACTCGCTATTAAAGCATGTCGTACGTAATAGTTAAAATTCGGTTTTAAAGGGTTAGAGAAAGTGACCTACGATTTAGATGAAACATGGCATCTGAACTAGAGTCAGAGACAGTTAATCAATAAAATCTACCCTTGTCCCTTCAGACGATGTGAAGTTGCCAAGTCTGGAACCTGTCTCAACGGGAAACAAACAAGTCAGTTGGAATTCGATTAGCACATTTTTCTGTATTTGGATCACATGACGAAATCGTGAGGTGAATGTTGCAAAATTATGCAACGTTTCTGCAATCGTAGCAATTTATACTTTCACGGTGATTATTCTCCCTGAAGATGGCATCTGCATGCTTGCCGAAACGTCGGATGACTTTTTCAACATTCGACGCGCCTCGTTCTCGAGAGCCGCGAAAACCTATGGACACAGGAGAACTGACGTTACCTGGTAGGCGTCTTTGATGTTAACGATTTCTTTGCTTTGCGCCACGACGCCGGCTATACCGACGCCGAATGGTATCCGGATCTCCTCGGCACGGGCTTTCTTTACGGCGTCTTCCAGCTCTGCAACAAAGAGAGGGTGACTGCTATCAGAACGAGAGAACGTGTAATCACAGTAGGCTGTCATATCCATGAGCATCGTAATTTTTAAGCTTAAACAGTGTAGATACTATCTAAGTAATAAAATCAGTGAGTGTAGCACAAAGCACGCAGAAAAATGCATTCCACATTTTAGTCTTAGAACTTGAAAAAAGGGATACTTGATAGACCTAGACGTAGATGGGCGTATGATGTAATCAACCCAAATGTAAAGTCATGACATGGATTAGACTATGAAAAGGACAGATATCAAATTTAAGGCTACTGTATCATCAAAGTTGGGTTTATTGCCAGAGTTACAGTCCAGATTAAAATGAGAAACACATATAAAATTTTATCAGTAAGACATCGAGAGAAAAGTTCACATGGGAGACCTAGATATAGATGGAGAGGTAGGCTAATTTAAAAGCGAATGGTATGAAAGTGGAAACTGGATTGTACTTAATAAAAGAAACACAACCAAAGACAATGACAGGCTTTTGTGAACACAGAAATGAGCATTTGGGATTATGCAAAAGCTGAATAAATGTTATTTTTAAAAGGAAAATCCTTCACTAGATATTTCGATGGAAGGACACGCGAGCAGACATACAGAATGACGTAGATAAATAACCAAGAGTTAAACAATGTAATGTAGACGCCTGATTTTACGAACCTGTGGAAACGATGTTCCATATCGATTGATCGATTTACATTTTCCAAAATGTAAATCGATCAATCGATATGGAACATCAATGATATTTTATTATCTTAATTATAAGAAATTTTAAATATTGTGATAAGACGGATTAAAATAAATAATTGTTAGAATATTCACAATATGACGCAATTACACTATCTTATAAATGGACAATGAATTAGTGTATTTAAAAGTTATCTCATTAGCCAGTCTGTAGGCTAGCCGAAATGCCATTCATTACGTTCTTGTGCAAAACAGATTTGGGGGGGGGGGGGGGGGGGGGTTCCCAAATTTACATTTATCGACTTCAGAATTCCATATTATTATTCTTTATGCTCGATTGTGTATTGAGCTTATATTGCTATAGCAACAGACATCCATGCGCTAAATTTACCACCGGAAAACACGAGCGCCGACATTTCACACATTGTCGACCTGAGCATTGATTAATTCGGCGGGCCACAGACACGTGAGTCCTGGGACTCCCATCCCCCGTTGCTGCTTTAAATTACTGTCAAACCGGCTGTAAGGATCAGATCATGGAGTTCATTCTCCCTAATTATATTAGCGAACTGTTCGAGTCTGTCAGTGTGTCAAGTTAATAAATTACGTGCATTACCTCATAAAAGATCGATGGTAACTATATGTACCACATGCTTCAACACTCATTAACACCGGTTTGTATTTGTGGGTTTCGTAAGATTCTCACCGTAAACAGCGACTGTTTCCTTAAACAGCGTTAACCAGTTGATCTTTTTAATGGTAAAGTCTAGTGTTTTCTTCGCGGTACGGACTGAATTCTTAAATATTATGCACGCAGTGCGTGTCTCATTTCCCCCCACTTTCTCTCTTCTCTCTCTCTCTCTATGATTCTCGTGTCTCATTATAAACAGCGATTATTTCCTTAAACAGCGTTAACCAGTTGATCTCTGTAATGGTAAAGTCTAGTGTTTTCTTCGCGGTACGGACTGAATTCTTAAATATTATGCACGCAGTGCGTATCTCATTTCCCCCCACTTTCTCTCTCTCTCTCTCTCTCTCTATGATTCTCGTGTCTCATTATAAACAGCGATTATTTCCTTAAACAGCGTTAACCAGTTGATCTCTGTAATGGTGAAGTGTGGTGTTTTCTTTGCGGTACGGACTGAATTTTTAAATATTATTTAGACGAGATTTGGCTTCAGAAGGGTTATCCAGTTGATCTTTGTAATGGTGAAGTGTGGTGTTTTCTTTGCGGTACGGACTGAATTTTTAAATATTATTTAGACGAGATTTGGCTTCAGAAGGGTTATCCAGTTGATCTTTGTAATGGTGAAGTGTGGTGTTTTCTTTGCGGTACGGACTGAATTTTTAAATATTATTTAGACTACCTTTATCTTTAAAGGGATAATATTATTTTCCCCCTTCTAATTCTCCCGTGTCTTCATCGTCATTACTTATTTTTCTACCTTGCAAATATATTTTTCTATTTTATGAACGAAGAAAATAAATTGAGAGATGATGAGAAAATGTAAGATTGAAAAAAAAGAAGACAGAGAAGAACAATGAATGCAGAAGAGAGGAAGAAACGAGAGATTAAGTAAGAAAAGACGGATAGAAAGGCATTTTCATAGGAATAAGTGAATATGATGTGAGTTCGTTGTGTGTTCTGACGTGATTAATGACCGTGTAATATTCAACGCTGTGCCTCTAATTGCTGGCATGTACCGTTCAGATAGCGGGCATTCATTACGAGAAAGTGGTGATGAACAGAATAGAGACCAATTGGCGACAATTATTTTTTTTTTGGACAAAAGTGCGCGGGAGGTGATGTCGTCTTGTTTTTCGTGAACGTACTCTACGAATATGTTTTTGAGATTATTTTATCACACAGCAGACCGATTCTTCTAGCCTGTACGTAGCTGCTCAGATATCGTTTAGCACCGAGTGCACTTCGACGCTAATTTCCGCAGTCTGCGAGGGTGCGCGTCGGGTGATTAATCTTACCGGTATCAACGGTGACGTCAAAGAGTTTGGCGACGAGGTAGCGAGAATCACGAGGTCCCCTGGCGAGGAACAGACTTCCCCGATCTGCGTGCGTCAGAAGGCCTACGTTCACGAGGATCTTGTGACAGAGGACGTCGATGTCCAACTCGTTGGCTACGTCACGGATCAGCTCCATGAACAGTTCGCTCTCATCCATCAAGTTCAGCTGTTTCCGGCGGAAACTGCTAGCCACAGGCCTAGAACACACGAAACAAATTTGCGCGCCTGGTGACGTTTCAAGCTCTCGCTGCCAAGAGCATGAAGATGTATGTCTTCCAGGATTTTACACCGTGTAGTCTGATTGGGAAACCTGAAGGGAAGAGACCGCTGGGGAGACCTAGACGTAGATGGGAGGATAATCTCAGGCGGGATCTATGGGAGATAGGAGTTGAAGGAGACTGGATTTTGTTGGCCCAGGACAGGGTCCGGTGAAGGGCTTTGGTTAATTCGGTGATGAACCTTCGGGTTCGGTAAGCCATCTGATTGGTTGGGTCCACTATTTGGGAAGCCTGAGGGGAAGAGACCTCTGGGGAGACCTAGACGTAGATGGGAGGATAATCTCAGGCGGGATCTATGAGAGATAGGAGTTGAAGGAGACTGCATTTTGTTGGCCCAGGAGGGCTTTGGTTAATTCGGTGATGAACCTTCGGGTTCGGTAAGCCATCTAGTTAGTTAGGTAGTTAGTCTGATAGATGTTTACAGACGTTTCAGAGGTTTTCGTAGACTCCGTCATCATCAGGCGATGACAGCTCTGATGGTGGAGGATGTAAGGCCCTCCGAAACATAGGCCAATTTCAACCAGACTACTCGGCCCTCCATCGCGAAGACATCCATCTTCAAAAGAACACTTGTAAGGCTATAGTTAAAAATATTAAATATCGGAAATTTTTTTAGGACACGGCAGTAGGAGGACGTCTCCAGAATCATGTTCCGGCCGCTTTATCTCCGTGCATTGACCTCGTAGTTCCCATTGGACAGGGTTTGGATGGGTGTTATGGCTAACAGAATAACTCTTGTTTGCGATGAGAACCTAACCCCGGTCGTCCAACCCCCTAGACAGGCAGTCGCTGTACTGAATTATCTTTTTTTTTTTAAGTACTTCCAAATTATAACGTGCTATTTACAGTTACCTATTCAATTCATTTAAATTATTTAAATGCTTGATAACAGCCAAATAAGACCAATTACAGCCAAGCACTGACAACAGTACAAAATAAAATATAATAATAATAAAAGTAAAACATTACAATTAAAAAAACAAACAAATGAACTAAATATATAAATGTACCATATTAATAATGATAATAATTCAATTAAATTTATTTATTGCATAATAATTCACAAGTAAATGAGATAAGTATTATGCCTACGTAATATAATAATTAAATTAAAATCAGTTCAATTATAAATAATACATGGATAAAATAAGAATAAACAAAATAAATACAGTTATGTAAAACAATGGCTGAGTTATTTCTTACGTGTTTCCGAAGACTGAAGATTATTGAAGGACAAAATTAAAATTTAAGCAGCTGGAATATACAAGAACAAATGGACAATTTATAGCTAAATTAGGAGCGTGTAATTACTAAAATTAAGGAAATCTGATAGTCGTTCATGTAGTTAAGATATTTTATACTTGTACCGGACCTGAAACTTCATTACGATGTTCACAAGACAGCGCCACTTTAATCCAATCTATCCTCACACCCTTCTTATTTAAGATGCATTTTAATATTATCATTCCCTCTGTGACGAGATTTTACGAATGAAATGATGTACGCGTTTATAATTTCTCTAATACACACCCATCTCTTTGACCCAATTCTGATTTTTGTCACCCTAATAGTTCTTGAGGAGGTATGTACTCGTAATTTATGGATCTCCACGTTACGTAATTCTTTCCATGTTACTCTTAGGCCTAAGTCCTGTATTTTAGGTTGAAAATTCTGCTCGTTAGTTACTTGTTCTGAAATATCCTCGTTTTCCCCCCCAAAGCAACATATTTGAGAAAACATATTTTCTACAAAACAGTCGTTGAAATTACCATTATTTTCACTTTAGAAATTACATTTAAATCTCAGTAAGTTTTACCGTTACAGTAAGAAATTTCCCATGATCTAAGATTAATGTTTCTTGTCGCACGGATTTTTTAATATATATAATTTACCTTTGTTTCCAGGGAAGGGGCGTCAACACTCGAAACATCATCCAGCCGAGGGTAAGTAAGTTCCCACATTCTTTGCATTCGGTAAGAGATTGAATTCGCTTGTTACCGGAAGAGACAACCGAGTCGCTTGAAATTTAAAACAACGGTACAATTTTTACATTGTATCACGTCACTTACCTACTGGGCGACTTCGCCCTCTTGATGGGCGAAGCGGCGAGCCAAATTTGGAAGAGTTCCGAGGTGATGGAATTCCTTTTACTCCTGGGGATGATAGCCCCGTTGTTGGTCCCTTGTCCGTCATCCTGCTGGAGACTTGCAGTAGAGGAACTCCGCGATCCTTCGTGACCTACGCTGGTGACGCTGAGGTGTCCTCGACATTGCAATAAGTTCTGCAAGAAGTCTGGATCCGCTTTCTCTAACAGCCATCTCTGTACGACCTGAGGGTGAGACTCGAGGTACTGTTCTACGTCGCTGTTGGACGACGTTCTGCTGACGCCGTAGAGTTCCTCCGAGACAGGATCTTTTCCAATTTCGCCCTCCATTACTTATTTCCACCCACAACACATGACTGAGTTGCACCGAGGTACTATCACACACGCCACTGGGCAGGTTTGGACCTCACCATAAAGAAGTGTGGTATAGATGGAAATATATCCGATTATTTCGGGAAATTCTGGTTTAGGGAGACTGGAGTCTTTGTTTTATCTCAACCCGGCTTAATTCTGTTGCACACAAAATGTCTGAATTCCAAGATTTTTTTTAAAATTTTTGTTAAAAAAAGAGGGTTAGATATCATTCAAATGCGGCTTCATTTTTTCGTGATGGTAGAATCTGCAGCGATCAAAGAATTATGACAACACGTTTAATAGAAAACTTCACAAAACTTATCACTGTCGAGGCGTGAAGGTTTTAAATTTAACGACAGCTGAAGTTTGAATAAGTTGAAATGTAATCGTCGATATTAAATGGATTATAATTGTTTTTAACGGAGTTTGTCGCTTAATCGAAATATTCCATGTTTATGATGGAACAAAACATCCTCTAGTGGATTTACTTAGTAGGAAGCCATTATTAATTTTCTTCGTCTTGAAGTCTGATGTAAGAACTTTGTGTCTTGTCCCATCTGGATCTAGAATTCGCCTCTGACTCCGATGTCGCAGCGTAAAGCAGTGGCGGACTTCCATAACTTATTTGCATCAACATTTAATTATCCATTCGCCTCTTTTACCGTTTCCTTCCTTATTCAT